GAAATAGTGAATCTCTACAGCAGCTCAAAATCACAATCTCATCAATAACTTAGCTTATCCTACCCTAGTAATCTTACTTCTAAAATGTTCCAGATCGCATTCCATAAACGTCTGAAAATATAAAGAGCCAGGATTTCAAAAAGTGTCCTTTAAAGTGAGGAGAGAGGGCAATGATGTACAAAACTGCATGTACAAAACACCAAAAGTATTTTCCAAAGTGTGGCTGAAGCACCTGTTTATGACAAGGACATCTGAATGGCCTGATTTGCCCACCCAGCTTACAAGATACTCTGAGAACAGGAGTTCAAACAGCACCTTCAACGCTTTACACTCAATACAGCAGATAATCTGTTAATTTTATAATGAATTCAGAAAAACATTTTTACACTCATATTGAGGCTACGACCAATGACTCTTTATCCCCATGGCTGTTGAATAGCGGTACATCTGTGCTTACAAACAATAAGAAAAGCTAATGCTAAAACCCATGCATGGAGTCAGTCATGAAAATAATCATGAAACATCATTCTAATGCTTACACCACTGGCTTTCCAGGCTTAAATGAACACCTTGTCATTTCTCTAGGAAGTTCATTTCACTTTCAGTTTAAAATATAAAATGTTTATATATCTTAATTATTCACAGTTCAAAGAAAATCCTCAGCTAACATAATTTTGTAGTAGTTTACTGTCATTTTCCGACAAGTAAAACAGTTCCAGCTTGGAATAACTTTATTATGTAAGCTACACATTTCTGTAAGGCCCTAGAGTTGCCAGAAAGAAGGAGCTCCCATGTCATAGCTCTTGCTACCAGCATGTGTTTTTCTATCCATATTCTGGCCATAGTTAGTCTTTAGTTGCCTTGGCAATCCCATGGCATTTAAAATACCTGCCAGTTCAGCCCTTTTCCACCACGGTTGTTCAATGCAGTATTGATAGAATGAAACACCCTATAGAGGATGTAAGTTGAATTCTTCCTTGTCCCAGAAATCATTAAAGCTTTACAGTTTTATTATTTGGAGTGAGAAAGTTGTTTTAGACTGTTACCATTAGTGGCTTTTTAAAAACACAAAATGCCCCCGCTCCAATTGCTGCAAGGTTATGTGTGGTTTGTTTTTTTTTTTTTCTTTTGCATTTTCTATGTGCAAACAGCTCTGATCCTGCTCTTTCCTGTGATGGCTTTCAACATTATAGCTGCTGATGTTGCTCTGAACTGCAAGAAAATAAGGAAGATAAGGCCACCATGTTATGGCGCTCTGAGCCTCCCTCCTCCCATTTCCTGTAGGGAAGCCTCTTTGAAAGGACAAACAGAAGAGAACTTTGTTTAAAGTAGACGGGCTTTAAGATTCCCCATGACTCACTGGCTTATAATTTTAAAGATGTATTTCGTGATTCTGCATTTCGGTCCCTACAGATTGGCCCTGCTGTCACAGTACTATTCCCTTTGCTAGCTATGTAGATGTAAGAGCCAATAACTTGCAGAATATGACACAAAGAGGTACTGAATTTTTTGCACAACATGTAAACCTTGGCCTACTGAGCTAGTACAGTATTGATCTGAGCAGAACTGGATGAAACTGAGATTCTTCTCACATAAATAGCTAACATAAAGTTCTCCTTTTTTCCATTCAAGCCTTGAAAACTTGAACGACAATAAGTTATCAAATGTTTCAGGTGACCACATCAAATAAATGCTATGTGGGGAACACTATCTGAGCAATCATTCAAGAAGTGATACCGCTGTCTGCTTAGGTAGACTACGCCACTGCTTTTTTTTGCCATCTTCCTGACCCTTCCTTATGAACTGAGATGGGCTTTCATAATGGGCCATATAGAGTTCCAAATGGGAATTTCAGGGTAGCAGATGCTGAAAAGTCATTAAGCTTAGAAAGGTCTTTGCAGCCTCTACCTGTAGACCATCATGTCGCTTTGTCAGCATCCTCCAGGAAGGCCTACTCCAAATATGAGTCACTTGGAAATGTCCTCACTTAAGGACACTTCTACATTTCCCACAGAACAAAAGCATTTTGGTGAGCCAGCTACTTCTTTTGACTGCCTTTGCTGTAGCTATTTCTGGGATGCTGGCTCATCTTTCCACTGGTATAGTAAGATATAGTGGAAAACTGAGTAACTTTCAGGTTAAAAGATGGAGAGGCAACTAAAAAACCTGTTTTACAAGCTTTTCCCTAAATGTAGAGTCTAATTCTAGAACTTGAATAAAAACTTGATTATTCTTAATATGTATGTTTGAAGGTTTACAGATCTGAGTGCGGAACACATAGAATGTGGCTGGTGACTAAACAGAGACCTTATCCTTACTAATTCTTCTTTTCTTTTCTACTCTTCGTACCTTTTTACTTCTGGACAAAGAGTATCCATATCAGGAAATTTTGAGACTTACCAATTTACACATTTGCTCATCAGTTGAAATCTTAGCTTTTGGAATTCAGTCAAAAAAAACTCAACAAAACACAAGCAAGGAAAAATGGTATATCAGACTTCTAAAATATTACAAGAAATGTTATGTTAACTAGCCATTTTACTGAATTTTAAAGCTGATCTTTAAAAGTATGCTGGTGTGGGAAGGACAGTGTTTTCACAGCAGTATGATTGTTATTGACAAAACGTTTGCACACAATTTAGGATGTTAAAGAGAAAAGAACTGAAAAACTAATCCCATCCTCACAGTCTAGTAGTCACCTACATGGAGCTTCTGTATACTCTTATATCTTAACAGCTTCTCACAAGAGTGTAGGAAGCAAAAACAACAGAGGAGAAAGACACTTAGATTAATAGTAACCTTCATTTGCACTGATGTTAATGACTGAAGTAAAGCGTTCTGTTTTGCTCTGTAATTCGGTGGAAACTCTTGTGGTACTGACTGAAGCAGCAATGCTTAACCTGTGGTTCTCAAACCATATGTAAACTTCTTTAAATTACTTTTGAGCCCCTAGCAGACAGTCTACAGAGCTTCAAAGAGAGCTGCATGACAAATACATGCAATTCATCACTTAAACTAGTCCTCATTTTGAGTGGGCTATTTTTTGTCAAAGTCATCAATGGACTGTTCTCAGCTGAGGTTGGCTGAGGTATATTCGGGCAAATATATTTTTGGTGTCTAGTTTATTCATGCAAAATCACATATTTCTATTCTGTGATCTACTAACTAACTCTCCTGGTCTAACTCAACCTCTGATCTCCTTGAAATCACGGTCCCTTTTCTGCCCAATATTTGCAACATGCACCTGTAGTTCCTGAATATTCTCCCACAGGGTTTGTTTCACTTATTGCTTTGTTTTAAAGAAGAGACCAAAGGGTGCCCTTGGCATGCAGTTATGCAGAAACAAAATGCCAGGTTTGCGGC